GCATGTGTCAGAATTTCCTTCTTTCCTTTTTGAGGCTGAATAACATTCCATCGTATGTGTATACCACGTTTTTAATCCATTCATCAGTCAGTGAATATGTGGGTTGCTTGGCAATTTTGAAAAATGCTGCTCTGACTATGGGTGTACAAATATCTCTTCAAGTCCTTACTTGTATACATATATATATATTTTATAGGACTGCAGATGTTGGTCCTCAAGAGAGAAGTAATTTGTCTCTCTCTTTTTTTTGAAATTTATTTATTTTAGTTTTGGCTGCATTGGGTCTTTGCTGCTGTGCGCAGGCTTTCTCTAGTTGCGGCGAGCAGGGGCTACTCTTCCTTGTGGTGCGCGGGCTTTTCATCGCCGTGTCTTCTCTTATTGCAGAGTACGGGGTCTAGGCATGAGGGCTTCAGTAGTTGTGTCTCGGCTTTAGAGTGCAGGCTCAGTAGTTGTGGCGCACGGGCTTAGTTGCTCCGCAGCATGTGGGATCTTCTCAGACCAGGGCTCAAACCTGTGTCCCCCGCATTGGCAGGCGGATTCTTACCCACTGCGCCACCAGGGAAGCCCAGTTGTATATTTTTATTTTAATTTTTTTGCGGTACACGGGCCTCTCACTGCTGTGGCCTCTCCCGTTGCGGAGCACAGGCTCCGGATGCGCAGGCTCAGCGGCCATGGCTCACGGGCCCAGCCGCTCCGCGGCATGTGGAATCCTCCCGGACCGGGGCACGAACCCGCGTCCCCTGCATCGGCAGGCGGACTCTCAACCACTGCGCCACCAGGGAAGCCCCCTATTTTTATATTTAAAATATTTTGCACCATGAAAATTGCATTAGTACTCAACTGCGGTATAACAAACCACCCCCAAACTGGATGACTTTTAACAACAGCGATTTATTAATTCTCCTGGTTCTGTGGGTTGGCTGGGTTGTCCTTCTGCTTGTTTACCTGGCCTCAGTCATGTGGTGGAATTCGACTGGGAGATCTGGTGGGCACAAAGGTCGGTCCAAATGGGCTTCATTCATATGTCTGGCAGTTGGTCTTGGCTCTTGCCTGGTTTTCTTCCACGTGACCTCTTCCCCTCTAGTAGGTTAAATCAGTTTCTTTAATGGCAGACTCAGAGAAGTGTTCAAGAGGGGAATTCACAGGGGTCTGTGACCTTGAATAGGAAAAAAACCCAAAAAACTACATCTGTTTTTACTAACTGCTAACTAAAATTTAGAATTGGCTTCAGTTATGAATATAGGCAACAAAGCACAACAGTATTGGGAGTAACTGTGATCTTGTCACCAAATGAAATCACAAATAGTTTTTCAATATTGTTTATGTTCATCACCACTATGAAACTTGAAATTAGACTCACTGCTAAATCTTATTATTTAACGCTTAAAGAAGCACATATATGCCATGGCACAAAAATGATTAAGGAACTCCTGTCTGAAAGAGAAGGGCATCTTGCCCCTTCCCCTTTCACTCTCGCTGCTGGCTGGCATGTGGAACTAGCAATGGGCCATCTTGGACACGCAGGTGAGAATTACACCTCTTCAGATGATAGAACAGCCAGACTGGAAGAGCCTATGTCTCTGGGACCCTGGAACCTCCATGCAACCTCGGATTGCTTACACCCAAATTGCTACTTCAAAGAGGAACAATGTCTACTTTGTTTACAGCAGTGTTATTTTGTGTCTTTATTTGAGCAGCTGAACCTATTTCCTTATTAATACAACAGCAGTTATCATATTTTGTAATTATATATTGATTTGTGATGATTTTTGTTTGTTTAAATGTCTTTACCAGTAAAGAATAAGTTATTTGAGGACATGGTAGGTATTTGTTCACTCTGGAATCCTAGCAACTGGTACAGTGTAGGCACAGAGTAGATTCTTAATAAATGTTTCAAAATGAATGAAATAATAGCATAAGAAAATGTGTATGAGCATATTAGGCTAATCAAATAACATTGTACAGGCAGTATGTAAAAACAAGCAAAAAGCCTATGCATAGAAAAAAGCTTGGAAGAAAATACAAAATGTGAATAGTAACTGTTTGAATTATAGGTTTTAGCATGATGTTTTCCTACTTTTGCCTATATTTTCCAAATTTCCTTTAATGAGATTTAAGAAAAAGAAAACATATATATATAATAAAAAACATATAATAAAACAAAATGGACCGAGGAGAAGTTAGTTGATCCCTGAGGGCCATGGAGAAGTTGGAGGTGTGTGGAGTATTCTTGTCTGGGGAGATTTAACCAGCTGTGGTCTGGTGCAGACCCTCTCAGACCCTTTAGATACTCAAGGTGTCATATAAAAGCCAACAGGCCAGCTTGACTCTTAACATAAAGAATGAAACTCACTTCTTAACAGAGGCCATGGAAAAGAATAAAAGGTGGAGCAATATTCTGGAACAATAATGCATAGCTCTTTACAATGTAGCAACAACCATAGGACAATCTTTATTGGGCTAAAGCTTGAAAATAAATTTTATTATATTTCATTCACAATTACACAGATGAATCAGTTATAGTCACCATGAAGAGAGTCATAAACTCAAAGAAGACAGAGTAAGCAACTGCCACAGCTAAAGGCCAAGTTAACAAATTGTGCTTCTGTGGGCATTCATTTCTTAATGTTAATTTTTTGGTTAAGCACTGAGCTTCTGCCTTGATTATAACCTTGACTGAAGAAAAGTGTACGCATATTTCAAATATACTGATTTTAATACCAAGAAATTACACTAAGGACATATTTTCACGTATTCATAATTCTAAAAAAAATTAACTTCAAGATTGGCAAATAATAGATGCTCAATAAATGTTAATTGGTGACAGTGTGTTATCCATAGGATAATTTTAAAGGTTCTTAATTTTTCCTCTATTGCCATTAATTGAAATTCTGCCTTCAAGTTTAAATATCTAAAGGCTCATAACATCTTTAGTATGCATTTATGATTATGTGAATTATTAGAAATGGCTATATTTTTTGATATAGATTGACTGGCCTGGAGACAAGAAAAGAAATGAAATAGGTCCATCAGAAAGATGTGAAATTGGGTACGGGAAATAAAACAAAAGAGAAGTTAATAATAGCCAATGATAACTGTTAAGAAATAATTTTTAACAAAACTGTATAGTCATGATCTCATACAGATATAAAGTCAACACATGTTAAAAATTTCATTTAACTCATTAATTAGTGGGGGAACCAGTAAGATTTTGCAAACAATTCAAAGAAGTATTAAAAAAAGAAAAGTATTCAAACTACTAGACATCTATAGGCAGTCAGGAATGCTTAAGTAAATCTGCTTAATAGATATGAAACTGGTAAAAACAGATAATATCCATAGAACAATAATCAACTGAATCTCCTATGGATATAATTTGCATAAGCTATGGACAAGAATTATTTGCATTATTGTCAATATTCTGCAACTTACAGAATTGTAAAATAGTTCAAAGACAATGAAAGGCACAAAAACCCCATAAAATCAGATAAACTGGACAACGTCTAACTCTCCCTTAAGACACCCAACAATCCTTTTGGTCCCTTTAAACAGCCTTTGTTCATGTTTTCCC